TGTATATGAAGATGTATAGCGAGAGACGGGCGCACTGTGTGTGTGTGTGTGTATGAAGATATATAGCGCGAGACGGGCGCACTGGGTGTGTGTATATGAAGATATATAGCGTGAGACGGGCGCACTACAAATGCTCTAACCATAAAGACACCCCAACGCAGCCTGATGTGATGTATTTGGGTCTGATTCTTGTTTTGATCACGTTTCAGGGATGAAACAAGTCTTATTGCCAGTCCCATGGACTTCGTCTTGTGGGTTATGCTGGGCTTTGAAAGAAATCCCGGTTATACAATGAATCCGGCTCCCCCATTCTCATGGTATGTAAACCTTTTTGGAGTGTTTCTAGCCGCTCCATATTATCCCATGATGGGGTTAAATCATTCAGCGTTAATTAGCAGAAGTCTTCGCACGGAGTGCGGCTCGTCGTATGTAGTGTTAGTGATGCTGGGAAGTAGGCCATCACATGCCGCGATGAGGCGTTTGCTTGTTTAAAATTAGCAGCTGAGCATGCTCGCATCAATCTGTGGCTGTGAGCGTGCAGTCTGTCTGCTGGTACACGACTCGCTCGCAGAGAAACATGCCTCTGTCACCATCTCTGAGCTCAGTTGATTTATGGCGAGGATACTGACGTTCAGTCCGTCCGTCCGTGAGTGAGTAATTCCCAACATGAACCTGGCTCCTTTAACATGTCAACACGGATCTGAAGTTCCTGAACGTCTTTTTATTGCAGTTTAAAATAATGCGATCTTTTCTCCAGATTCTTTTCTGTTCATTTTGCTTTCACCCATTAAGGTACTTTTTGTAAAATCTGCTTAATAATGAATTATGTTCTACATTTTATTACACTTCAATGCAATCCAGTCTAAAAATTATTTTTTATTAATTTACTGAAAATTTTTTGCATTTTGTATCTAAACTGATACGTGTGAGGTAATCAAATCCGTAACCATTTCTGTACCAGAAGGATTTAATTTAACTTTTTTCAAGAGAATGCTTGCATGGGTTGGTATATGAAAGGGTTAATGCATGCATTGTGTCAGTATAGGAAGGGGTTAATGATTGCATTGGGTCAGTATAGGATGGGGTTAAGGATTGCATTGGGTCAGTATAGGAAGGGGTTAATGGTTGCATTGGGTCAGTATAGGAAGGGGTTAATGGTTGCATTGGGTCAGTATAGGAAGGGGTTAATGGTTGCATTGGGTCAGTATAGGATGGGGTTAATGGTTGCATTGGGTCAGTATAGGATGGGGTTAATGGTTGCATTGGGTCAGTATAGGATGGGGTTAATGGTTGCATTGGGTCAGTATAGGAAGGGGTTAATGGTTGCATTGGGTCAGTATAGGATGGGGTTAATTGCATTTGTTTCTGAGTAGGTATGATTTTCTGGATAACTTCTATGTAGGAATGATTAAGGCTTGCAATAATTCTTCAGATTTGAAGGGGCTAATGTTAGTCTTGTTACTAAAAAGAGGCGTTAACCCTTCACATTCCAAAAGGAGTTAATGGCTGCCTGGTTCCAGTATTAAAAAAAGGGGTAAATGCCTCGTTCCGGTGTGGAGGAGGTTAATTGCTGCCTGGTTTCGATATTATTTCAGGGGTTAACGCCTTGTTTTGGCATGGCAGGGATTAATTTTGGGCATTTTAAAGTATTTTAGAGGTTAATACTTGGCTTGTTTCTGTGTGGGAGGGATTAATTCTTGCCTGTTTCCAGATTATTTCAGGGGATAAGGGGTAATGTTAACATGCGTTTAATGTGTGTGGGTAGGCTCTTTATTAACACCTATTTAAAGACGTTGTATGGGTTCTTTAGGTGGGGTTTCAAACCCAGAATTGGGCATGGAGAGGAATAGTTAGTGTTCCATTTGACTGCCATATTATACACAGAGTGGCTCGGACCTGCAGTTTATTCCAGGCTGTGTCTGCGTTGTCCCAGTATGCTTCCTGTGCGTTGATGGTGTCTGAATGTCGCTGTTAATCCCATTACCTTCTTGTAGTCAGTGCTTGTGGCCAGGGGTCCATCTTTCAGGGCAGAGGATTCGTGTCGATACTGTGAGGCTGCCAGGGAAATGTAAACAGAATACTGTGCTGTGGCATCACCCACGTATGGCACAGTCTGGCAGCAGCTGGTGTTTGTCAGCGTGTTCTGTGTGCGGAGGTTGCATTGTGTTTATTAACCCTTCACAGACTGGAGGGACTAAAGCCTGTGTCTTCTGAATAAATGTCACTGTCCAAACAATGGTTGGTCTGAGAGCAAGTAATGGAAGGATCCCAGAGCGCCATAGCTCCATGATTTACATTCAATAAAGTGTATAACAGCTGAACACAGATATTGTCCTCGCATTATTAACATAAATGCATTAGGGAACACGCGAACAAGCTGTATCACTGCTATGAAGAATTCAGTCTCCACATAGCACACAGGACCCTCAGTGTAAACTCACTGAGCATCTGCCTAACATTATCTGCTGCTCCTCCGGGGGCACCGCCTCATACACAGGGTTTACATTGGTTTTCTGTGCATGTTAAAATGCTTTAGTGTTTGCTACCCTCAGGACCATCTCCTCTTTTCCCCTGACAACCCATCTTTATGTAGTGGTTTTAGTAAAACTTTTCTGGCAGTTTAAACATTGCCCTTTCCCGAGAAACTGCACGGTTTGCATGTGGCTGTAAGCACTTCTGACTGCCAATAAAGGCACTAAAGGCTTACATTTTTATAGAAAGATTGCATTCAGTGTGTCTCTAACAAATGGTTGGAGCCCTGTGTATGTACTTGTTAATTTACTTTGATAACATTGATTGGGACAGAAGATCTTATCACAGTGAGCACACAGTCCAATAGTCCAATAAATGGTTACATGGAAGTTTCAAGGCTTTTTGATTAACACCTTTGTAGCTTTTTTGAGGGAAGGGTGGGGTTTATGTGTGTGGTTTAAAGGAACACTATAGGGTCAGGAAAACAATAAAATCTTACTTGTATTCAAGTCTGCAGCTGTTGGCTCTGCCCCTGATCTGCCTGCTTGGCTGACATCATCAGAAGTGATTCTCTGAGCCAATCACAATGCTTCCCCATAAGATTGTCTAAGATTGTCAAGGAGGCAGATCAGGTGCAGTGCAGATCCAGCACAAGTCGAACACAGCCCTGGGCAATAATTATCTCCCCATAGAGATCAATCAATGTAAGTTCAGTGTCTCCATGCAGAGGGAGGAGACACTGAATGTCAGTCACACTGTGCAGCACTGAGCCAGGGAGCACCTCTAGTAGCCATCTGAGGAGTGGCCATAGATAATTCAAACTATTAAACTCAAAGCTGAAAATAATAAGAAACTTGCATATACAGCAGGTTAGCACTGGCTAGCCAATCAGGATGCTCCAATAACTGATACGATTTCCACTGGATTACCCCAAGCTCATAAACGACCGACGTGTCACTTGTTGTCCTATTAATGGCTATAACACTGACTGTAGAGTAGGTAAAGTAGTTCCAAAAGCGTTGCCTGGCACGCTTCTAAAGTGGATCCCAGCGATATACAGCTAGAACAGAGGGACACTTTCTTTCTACTTGGACTCCCTAATAATTCATCACAGGTGAGTTTCTTGGATGGTTTCCTATTTTAGTAGACTTATTATTTTCATGTAATTTTTCGTTTTTTCTTTTATTGTTTGGAAGTTTTCTCTATACTGTTTGACTATATTCTAGTCTCACAGGAATGTTGATACGTTGTATATATTTTAAGTTTATATTTTGAAGCAATTTCTGAATTTCTTGCACTTTTAATTTGGCACTCTGCACTTTTAAATCGGTTATGCACTTTCACCCTTACGGTATATAGTTCTATATGTTTGATTATTCACATGATCAGTTATATTTACTTGGAGACTTGACCAACGGTTGCAATGTTATGTAAATACATTTATAAACATTCTTTTTCCATATCCTTATTATTTTGATTGCCGGGTAATTTTGGTTATTTTTGTATATTCATTGTTGTGGTCCTTGGAGGGTGACCCAGACACCAGTACAAAGGATTTGAGTGAGTGCATGCATATTGTGTAGTTATTCATCAAAGTATCCAATAATCTTATCACTGCAAAATCCAGTGGCAACTACTCTATCCTACTTCTCGACCTTTCTGCTGCTTTTGACACTGTTGATCATTAAAGGACCACTATAGTGCCAAGAAAACATACTCTTTTTCCTGGCACTATAGTGGCCTGAGGGTGCCCCCACCCTCAGGGTCCCTCTCCCACCAGGCTCTGGGGAGAGGAAAGGGGTTAAAACTTACCTTTCTCCAGCGCTGGGCGGGGAGCTCTCCTCCTCCGATCCTCCTCCTCTCCTCCCTTTGGGCTGAATGCGCACGTGCGGCAAGAGCTGCACGCGCATTCAGCCAGTATCATAGGAAAGAATTTACAATGCTTTCCTATGGACGCTTGCGTCTTCTCACTGTGATTTTCACAGTGAGAATCACGCAAGCGCCTCTAGCGGCTGTAAATGAGACAGCCACTAGAGGATTTGGAGGCTGGATTAACCCTAACCTAAACATAGCAGTTTCTCTGAAACTGCTATGTTTATAAAAAAAAAAAAGGGGTTAACCCTAGCTGGACCAGGCACCCAGACCACTTCATTAAGCTGAAGTGATCTGGGTGCCTAGAGTGGTCTTTTAAAGGATCACTATAGGGTCAGGAACATAAACATGTATTGCTGACCCTATAATGTTAAAACCACCATCTAACCCCCATGGGCCCCTCATGCCTCCATAAATATAGTTAAAATCTTACTGTATTCAAGCCAGAAGCTGTAACTCTGCATGCTGTTAGACTCAGAAAAACAAGCAGTCTGCTGACATCAGAAGTGGTAGCCTGATCCAATCACAGTGCTTCCCCATATGATTCGCTGAGGCT